CAATTTCTCCTTTACAGTTTTTACTAATTAACCTTGTTTTTTTTTCTCTCTTGAGCAGTCAACAACCGCAAGACAAACAGGCAAGAAAGCTACCATGGCTAGATCACTGCAAGAGATAATGGATCGGATGGCTGCTACTCACAGCGACAACAGTAAGTGGTTTTGTACATCGCCATCCTCACCACCACTATTGCTTCCGCCAGCACCACAATCACCACCTACTGCAACAACTACTGCTGCTGCTGCTGCTGCTGCTACTTCTACTACTACTACTATGCTACCTCCACTACTTCTGATACTATGACTTTAACCATTATCACCACCATGATTAATACTACTGCTGCTGCTACTACTACTACTACTACTACTACTACTACTACTACTACTACTACTACTACTACTACTACTACTACTACTACTACTACTACTACTACTACTACTACTACTACTATGCTACCTCCACTACTTCTGCTACTATGACTTTTACCATTATCACCACCATGATTAATACTACTGCTGCTGCTGCTACTACTACTACTACTACTACTACTACTACTACTACTACTACTACTACTACTACTACTGTCGCACCGTCTACCTCCTCCTGATCATACTTTTCTTCTTCTTCTTCTTCTTCTGCTTCTTCTTCTTCTTCTTCTTCTTCTTCTTCTTCTTCTTCTTCTTCTTCTTCTTCTTCTTCTTCTTCTTCTTCTTCTTCTTCTTCTTCTTCTTCTTCTTCTTCTTCTTCTTCTTCTTCTTCTTCTTCTTCTTCTTCTTCTTCTTCTTCTTCATCTTCTTCTTCTCCGCCTCCTCCTCTTCTTCTTCTTCTTCTTCTTCTTCTTCTTCTTCTTCTTCTTCTTCTTCTTCTTCTTCTTCTTCTTCTTCTCTTCTTCTTCTTCTTCTTCTTCTTCTTCTTCTTCTTCTTCTTCTTCTTCTTCTTCTTCTTCTTCTTCTTCTTCTTCTTCTTCTTCTTCTTCTTCTTCTTCTTCGTCGTCGTCGTTTCGTGTATACATTTGTGTTAATGCTGGAGTGCCCTGAAAATTATTATGACAGAAAATATGAAACTTGTATTATATTGTGTGGGGCAAACGTCTCTTACGTTCCATAATTCACAACAATTGTGTACATCGAGGGTGCGGACGTAAAGGAAACACTTGGAAATAGTGAGTGGGAGTCTGGGTTCTATGATCCCTTCTGAATTGTCTTTAAAAAAGCGAAGCGGTGCTCTTATGTGGTCTAAAGTTGGCTTAAGTGCCTAATGAAGATGACGATGCTGATGGTGGTGATGATGATGATAGTAATAATGTTATGAACAGTAAATATATAATATGCTTCAAATACACTAACATAAAAAGAGAACTTTTTTCTGTATATGGCTGAAGTGGGAGCTGGGTAAGGGGGAGATGCTTAGTCCCTTTACAAATTGTGTTTTTAAAAGAGGCGGACGGGGAAGGGGCAAGGGGGGGGGGGCGCAGCCTGAGCTTCCTTAAATTTATATTTCTGAACGCGGTAGCGCTCAATATACTCTGGCGCCCCCCCCCCCCCTTTTCCAGTTTCCGTCCCTCCTACCCCGTCTTGTACATGTCTCTACTTTGACCTGCTTTTCTGTGTTGCAGTTCCTGATGAAGATCGCAAGGATGACGATGACTTTTATCCTGGTATGTTTGTTTCGTTTATTTATGCTAATTTATGATCATCTTGAAATGCAATTTGCTGGTATAAGATTATTATTATTATTATTATTATTATTATTATTATTATTATTATTTTATGTTTGTGTGTTTGTTAAGGTAAATGTAAAAAGACAAACTCAACAATGTTAAATAGCTAACTATCAAAAGGTCCCGATATATTGAAGATGAGGGTGTGGAGTGGGTGGATTTAGCAATCCGCGTTAGCGTAGTCGATAGGAGGCTCGCTTTCAAATCCAGCTGCGACTCGCTGCAGACACGATCGGTGTTCGAAACCGGGCGGTTCCCGGGGTTCACCAAGCCTCCAGGAAATGTGTACTAAAGTTGACACTCTGGGGTTAGTAGAGGAACGTCGCTGTAGCTACGGAGTTACTTTCGGACGGCGACACAGGCGGACAGTTTCTTATCAGCGTACTGGGGGCAGAGCACTTATGGTTTATAACTGGGCAATGACGCTGGCTCAAATCTCCCGACTTTACCTTTTTTACATTTATACATTATCTAGAGTGGCGCTCGTGTAACATAAGCCTTGTTTAAGCATGCGATAATAATAATAATAAGAAGCTGAATGGCAAAAAAAAAATGTAATATTGGAATATATATGATATTTGTAACTAACAATTTAAAAAGAGAACTCCCATAAGTGGTGGTTGGGGAAACGGTGCTCACACACTGAGTGGATCCACCGGGTGCTGGTGCCCCTTGCCCCATGCAAACAACTAAGCTGCATGTTAAAATCAGGAATGATTATTACGTTGGAAACCACCATAAGACTACGGGTAGCTCGTTATCCGGCAATGCTGGTAAAC